ATTATTAAAATCAAAGTTTGAAGTAGTAGATAAATTATTAAATACTTTACATCTTAACTATTTATTTGAAATTCGATTTTTATACATTACATTATATTGAAATACAAACAAAAATATTTTTCTTTGGAATATGAAATTAAAAATGCATATTAATTTGTTATTCTATAAAATAAAAAGGCTTACAATATATCGTTAAAAAATATAATAAGTAATACGAGTGTTATTCAATTATAATTTATATCATTTTAGAGAATCATATTGCATATTGAAATGTAGAAAAGTCGACGGGAGTTAATCAATGATTTTTTTTTTTTTTTTGCTGTTGATATAGCAATATTTACCAACCTAAGTTTTCGTGCAGACAAAACGTACAATAATAAATCCTAATCTAGATCTAAACGGCGTGTGCAACAGTAGAGCTGTGTATTTATGTATAATATAAACAGAATAATATTATATATTTATGTATTAAAATGATACACTTGTGTAGATAACACACAATATACTTTTTGTGTATTGTAAAATAATACGGTTCCTTTCGGTTATATATATATATTATATATGTATATATAGACATAAATGAATATATTTATACCACACACACATATATATACCAAAGGTGCCTTTCAATAATTCATAATTTTCCGTTATCTGATTTTGAAAAATCCACGCCAGCACGACGACACATAATATATTTATTATTCCATTTTCACATAAATGACAAGTTATTGAATAATTCACTTTGGTGGTGTCTCGTCATTCGCGATAATGTGTACCTACACTGTGTACACTGTACACTGCACAATATACATATTATGTGTAATAATAATATCATATAATATATACATGAACCATAAATAGACGATGGACGGAATGGCATTTTCTATAAACCTATGTATATCAACTATCAAGTGTAGATTATAAAATAAGTAGCAGCATTGCTGTATAGTATAACTGCTACAGAATTGAATTGTGTAGCAGTATACGGAATGAACAATTTAACGTTAGATATTTTTTGGACAAATTCGATCTATAAAAATTACATTTTGAACGATAAGATTTGAAATATCTAACTAGTTATTAGTATTTAAATATTAAATGAAGGGAGTAGTGACCCTAAATGTTTAGGTACCTACTCCTGTTCCACTCTACTCTGCTCATCTAAAATTTAAATACGTTTAATTCATAGTACTTGTAGTCAATTACTCAAGTACTCGTCTAAAATTCGATTTTTATGCATCGAGATACTTCGAAAAATATTCTATTTTGAAATAAAGAATTTAAAATATACGTTGTTATTGAAAATAGTAAAATATTAAATGAATTAGAATGATAAAAAATAGTAAAAATATATTTTAGAAAAATGCTGTTTTTAATGAATTGAAACTTTGTAAAAAATTATTTTCAGAAATGTTAACAGTTTTTGAAACATTTGTTAAATGGATCACTCGGTATACTGTATATATTACAGGTAAAATAACAATAAATAATTGGATACGTTGACATTAGCTACGGATAATGTTTGCATTCGCCACGCATTTTGGTTAATGTGATTATATATAGCTACGTAATTTTAATATTGCCCGGAATAATGTTAACAATAGTCAGTGTATTGTGGGTAGTATTTAATTTTTAAATTGTACACGTTTGTTATCTCTTTGTATACTAACTACAATCTACATAGAATCAGTATCACTGTCATCAAATTACGTTAGTACGAATGTCAAAAAATAATGAGTTTTAATAACTAATCCATAATTTTCTCCTATGAAACGCCGGAGGCAGCATGATAATGACAGCTCAATGTTGGCAGAAGTCGAGTGGATTCGAAAAATATAATATTTAGTGTCGTATAAATTTAGGTCTGAGCATGAATGTTTCTATAAACTTGGTATAATAAATAATAAATATAGTTTTTTGCTATTGACACAATTATATACTGTAGAATTCAGTTTTATGTCAGTTTCTTGCCTTTAATATCACTGAATAAGGTGTTACACGCCTTCAAATCATCGAGGGAAATTGCGAGATAGATGTCAAGTGGAAGTGGTCAAGAATACGAGTATAAAACATGTTTTTGTAAAGAAAAATGTGACGTTATAGTAATTGTTAGTGAATATTTTCAAATAATTAATATAGTCTAATAATTAAAATGCCACGGAAGCATGTAAAAAATAAATAATTATTTTTTTTTCTTAATGGTGTTTTATTTATTATGTCTTCACTTTTTCAGACTCAAACTAAAAAAAATGATTTTAAAATTAATGCATTAATCACTCCGTTTAAAATCTAAAAAATAAAGAGGTACTTAATTTTTATTAAGTTGTAGTCTGTAGAGTATAGAATATTTTATAAAACATTTCAATAATATGAAACTGTACTATAATTATTGCTTAATTCAAATTTAGACCGTTCTATGTATTGTAATTTAAGAGTTAAGCTTAATATTAAATTACGTTCATATTTAATTTTTAATAATTGCAATAAAATTTAAAAATTCAAAGCAGACTTTATAGATAATATGTATAGAATGATTTAAAAAATTATAAATGTACAATAGAAATAGCTTAACAGGTAAAAATCTTTACAATTCATTGAATATAATAAAAACTTATTTAAAAGTACCTAATGTATTCAAAAATTGTACGCTATTTGATATTTTATTTTCTGCGTGGAAAAATAATAAATCATGTATGTCTTAAAATTAAAAAAAAATGTATTAATATGAGGCTGCTATAGTAACGTAATTACGTTAATCATCGGTTGCTAGGGTCAACCTTAAGAAAAATCCAATTACAAAAATAAAATTGTATCCAGATTCTACATGTAGATTTTTTAGTGTTGCTATAGTAACGTTATTATATATATATTTATATTATTCATCAATTGATGGGACAACCTAAGTATCTACTGTAACATGAAATCTGCCGGATAACGTAATTATATTGCAACTATTGCAAGGTTAATAGATTAACCTTGATTATATTGCGTATAGGTTGCTAGGGGTAACCTACAGATACTATAATACAAAATTAAAACATTATGACATTATTTTCATCTTTATTATTATATTTTTACCATGTAAACTATAACCACAAAATAAGCCACGCGAAATCGGTCTGAAGAAAAATGCATTCAGCCAAAACCATAAATTGATTGGTAGTTAAAAAAGGTAAAGCGTAGCCAGTACAGCTAACCGCTCTTCTGTACCTCTGGTAATAGTGTTGAGTGTATTTTTTCATTGAATAAGTTATTGTAAACTCTTTATTAAATTTGAATTCAATGATTAAATTATTGTACATGAAAAACAATTCTGACAAAAACGGTCTATCAGTCAATATTGCTAAGTATATTTAATGATATATTTATATTATTGCTATTTTAGAAATTTACTTTATTACTATTTCAACCTCAAATGTCTATAAAAAAATATCATTATAGGAACTAATAGTACCTATGAATTATGAGGAACCTTGTCTTACGTTTTTAAACTTTGTGATGGAGCAAAATATCAGATATAAATAATTGCGAATTAAATTTTAAAAAAAATAAAGAAATAAAGAAATCGATTCTGTACATGAATACCAGTGTTTGGTATTCAGATCTCCATAGTGGCTAGACAAAGCCATTTTACATTTTTACCACTTGTTAAAATATAAGCAGTGATAATATGATAATAGTAGAATTAATATGATAATAAATATAATATGTTATGTCTTCATATTAATATTATCAACAAATTCGCATCACTGAATACATACTCCGTTATTTTTTCTCTGATCGACAAATAAGTATGTCACTTTCTTTTAATAATGATAATCAATAGGTAATTACTTTGTTACCAACAATTTATAACAAAACATTTTTATACACAGGTTTTTCTAGAAATCAACCGGAATTGTTTGAACACCTGACAAAAGAATTGGCAATGTACTTCAACGATAATTTTGTCTCCAATCTAAAACAATAAACAACAAAAAATATAGGCGGATAAGTCGGTAATAATTATGCTGTATAGTAGTCAGTAAATGTCAAGTTCACGAGTGTACTTCATTGAGTAGGTTATTTACTATTAAAACGGACGTGTTAAGTATTTAAATTCAATGATCTATCATTGTACATAACGAAACTCGATTTGGAGCAGAGGTAGTTGGTCGGTTTAATGTTTACAAAATAATTTTCAATTTTAAGTCATTTTGTTAAGCCCTTATAAAAAATTAATGTAATTTATACACTAATCCTTTTTTTTAATTTTTGTGATTAAAACTTTTGATAAACCATGTATACATTTTAAACCTTTTAAATTAATACATTTTTGACTAGAAAATAGTTTGCGGATGCTTGCGATTTTGACAACTCTCATCAAAATTTGAAATTTTACAATTATATATAAAAAAAAAAAATCATGACTACGCTCAATATAGATATTTTTTAATTCTTGTAAAAGAAATAGAAATTTAACAATGTGAGAAATCTTGTGTTTGTTAATTGTAAACTCAAAAAAAAAAAAAAAAATTGTATTATAAATACGTCCATTAAAAACTAAAAAGTCTAGAATTTCAAATACATCTCAAACAAGGTATAACTTAGGAAAATTTAATTTTAGAAAAATGTCTTAAAATTTTCCACATTTTACGCCTTATTAGTATTATTACCTTCACTGAACTTTTAATTTTTCCTGTGATTACTTCTTTACATATTAATGGATTAAATTAATTATTATCAACATATTTAATAGCTCTTGTAATCTATTGTATACTTAAATATAAGAATAGAATAAGAGACGTTAAATTTACAAAAAAAAAAAAAAATTCTGTCTTTATATTTGCAATATTATTTGCGAAAGTAAAAATCTAATGTATGTTAATTAAATGTTTTTTAATCAAAATTAAAATAATAAAAATCATTACTAAAAATATAACTATACCTATCAGTGGTTATGTTATGCAATAAATTAATTTTAATCTACTAAATATTTTTAGCAATTTTAAATCCATATTTATTAAAAATCATAAGTATAATTAATATAATACAGTTTTTAATAAATTATAATAGCTTTATGAAATTACGCTTCAAGATTAATATTACAGACTGTAGGTCTTGCAAAGTTTCATCCATTTATTCCTGTCTTTGTTTTATCCGATGATTCCTTTTCTAACGACTCCTCGTTCAAGGCATCCTCGTCCAAGACCTCACTTGATGACTTCTCGTTAAACTTCTCTTTGTCCGCTAATGATCCCTTGTTTGACATATCAATTTCTACTGAATTATTGGGATCCAACGAATTTAACGGAATTTTATTCTCTAAACTGAATACGCTGCCATGTTTTTTTCCACTTTGTTTCTTTTTGCGACTATCGTCATCAGCTTTAATTGTTTCGTTAGTGTCTACAAGCTTATCATTATTATTATCAAATTCTGCTGCAGTGCTCGCGGCTTCTGTAGCCTCAAAAGCAGCTATTCTTTCCAAGTTATTCCGACCGTCGTTTAGTATGATCATGTTGGGATCCAAAGGTTCGAAGTAGACTCTATCCTCGTTGATTATGTTTACTACCTGTTCTTGCGAGTTTTCAAGCACATGCTTTTGTGCAACCGAATGTACCTAAAGGAAAAACTAAACATGTTTATTCATTTTTAGTAACTGCATTATTGTGCATATAAAAATACTACTAAGATGATTTAATATTTTTGCTATCTCAGAAACGTTTTTGTGATTGGAAAGAAGGATAACCAATTGGATATTTTCGATTATCAATATTATATTATTAATTTTTTGACAGATTGATAGTAAAATCCTGCACATAATGCATTTATCATTTATTATTTATTAGTATTAGTACCTATTATCTTTAGTACCCATACAGAAAATTTGACTTGCATATTTTCGTAGAATAAAGTTTGCTACCCAAGAATTATCATTCTTTATCAATTATCGAAAGTCAGTATTATTTGATAATCGATTATGTTAACGTATTGGTATTTCAAAAACAGAAAAATATTTATAATTTGTAGCAGTTATTGTATTAAAGAGTAAACAAACAAAAATATACAATTAAAATAATGGTAAAAAAATTACTTTTATACGTAAAATTTATCCCACGAAAAGTTCATATTATTCAATCTGCAGTGCCAATCCATAAATTACTATAAAAATTGTATTAATAATAATTTAATAGCTTTTTTACAGGGAAAAATACATTTCAAAAACAAAAAAAAAATTCAGTCTCTAGTTAAAATATTTTGAAATTAATTCCATGTTTAAAAAATAATCTTTGCAAGTATTTGAAGTTTAATTTTTAATTTTTTTTTTTTTTGATATAGTCTCATTTACTGTTTTTCCTATCTTAAATACAACAATAAACATAATTGATTATGTTGAAAATTAATTTTTACTAAATATTCCCATCTGTTGGCTTTTTTTTGTTCACTTATTAAAAAATTACTTGGAAGTCCTTTTATTTACTTTATAGTAATAACTAGGTAAAAAATTCTACCATGAATTAGCTTCAATGATGAAGAGTTGACAAAGTATTTTGCTCTATAATTTGATAACAGAAATAATAAATTTTTTATCATTATTACTTCTATAACTTTTGTTTTGCTCAGATCCAAAATACGTAGGGAAATATATGATCAATCATTATAATATAGGATTGCATAATACAGATATTGGAGATATAATTATAAAAAAAATAAATGTAAATAAATTGCATAGATAATTACACTTATCAATCAATGAATGTATAATATATGGAATTATAAAAATGTGTATGTGTGTGTCTTGGTACTTAATAATGTTAGTCACCTACCCTTTTACTCAATACATGTTCCTGATCATCGTTTATGATATATACGGTTTTATTATATAATTTTATTGTAAGCCTGCATTTAAATTTGTAACTAATAAATCATGATCAGTTTTAAATTGATTTAATTGAATTAGTTAATATTAATATGTAAAAATTGAATCAAGATCTGATTATAAAAAAAAAATAAATATACAATTTGATACAGAAATGAGGAAAAATATATACTTGTATCTAAATGAATTTTTTTTTACGCTTGTTAAATAGGTAATATGATGTTATTCATAAATTATTTTTAATAGTATGTATTTTATAAATTATAGAAGGATATAATATTAACATTAGAGAATATTATTTTTTCTTAAATATAATTATAACTTCGTGAATAAATTTAATTTAATAATAATTTAATTCTTTGATCATTTAAATTTGATTATATCAAATCATTCAAATCTATTAAAGTCTAAAAGTGATATTAATTAATAATATCAAATTTCCATAAAAAAAAGATTGCAATAAAAAATATAATTGCATAATATTATTATATTTAATACAGAATTAGTTGCTATTTTATTGATGCGCAAGACTTAAAGATAAATTTCAAATCAATGGCTTAAATTCATTCTGGGAGACATTTAGAGATTTAAAATTAAAATTTATTGAATCGAGTAGAAGCTAAAAGTAAATTCCAAAAAAAAAAAAAAAAAAAAATAGAATTTTTTTCTAATTTTTATCTTTTTTCCAAAATGTTATCTTCTGACAATATGATTTTCTATTTAGTTTTTGTGAATTGAAAAAGCTTTTTGTATATTAAAAATGTAAATTATCGATATATTTAAATTATTTTAATAATTATTATTTTATCTTTTAAAAGAGAAAAATGTAAAAATTATGACTATAGAATAAATATAATATAATTGTTTTATAAGTTAGTATAAGTATTTTTACTCAACTTTTTCGTGTTTCTTAAGTAATTCAATTATTTTTTCGTTGGGCAAGGCGTGCTTTTCTGGTGTGCCATGTTTCGTCACAAGATGCAAATCAACTCCATCCATTATCTAAATAACAAAATATATTGAAGAATATTTTCATGTTTATTTGACTTGAAAAATTGTAACCTGTCCTAAGTAGTCAAAGCCATTATTTTCTAATAACTCTCTAGCTTGGTCTTTGGTCATTCCAGGCAAATAGACGGTCCATTGGTTAACAAAATGACCATTTTTAAGTATATTCGGATGAATACAATCATTATCTTCATAGTGACTGCACACGTCTTCCCCGAATGAGACACTCGTTGAAAATATGAAGCTCACAAAAATTATGGATAGTGATATCGCCATTATAAACTGGAAAAATTACATGCAAGTACTGTGATCAAATATAAACATTATAGATAATTGATATTTTAAAAATAACTTTAAGTATATAGCATAAAAAAAATTGGTCTAACTTTTGTGTAATAAATTTATTAGATTTTCGGTATCACAGACTTACATTCAATTTGATGTGTGCAATTAATATTATTCAATTCGACTGGAAATTAAATTATAATACGTGCGTATTATATTGATTTATATACATCCGTTTTATTAGGTAAATGCAATTTTATTAATTTAAACATGGCATTAAATGACTATAAAAATAATTGATACAATTATACAGGTGTTCAGTTATTATTTTTTTATACTGTAAAGTATAATATATTTTAAATTATAAAGAGTATAATGTATTCAGCTAATTAGTTGAAAGCACGTCAATTTCCAATTTCACTGTATTGTTTATTCTTTATGAAGACAAATATACCTACGCCTACAACATTACAACATAATATCTATTAAGTTGATTATTATAAAGTAGATAGCTATTAAATAGATACAGACACTTAGTGACATACTACCAAATAATTTTTTTCCTGATTAATAATACCAGTGCATACTAGTTGCCTCCCAAAATATACGAATTGCCTCCTATCCTTATTGTAAATAATAAGTTTAATATACAATAATACACTATAGTTGCTTCCAATGACCAGGTAGTTTATTTATGAATTGCCTCCCAAGAAATTGTATACTAGTTGTCTCTGGCATAGAATTAATTAGTGGTTTATGAACTTAAATAATAATAAAACATCAATGTACAATCATAGTTATTTAGAATTATTTAATTTCTTATTTTTTTTTAGTTATTTTATGTTTTGTCATTATTAGAAATATTAGTAATAGGTTTGGTACATATATATTTTATACTTTTATAAACAAATAATAGGTAAGTACATAATTATATTAAAAACATAAAAAAAAATTGTTAATTTTATAATAATAAGTCAATACAAGATTGAAAACAGGTGGTAGCATCTATAATTAGTCGATAAAACAAAAATATTAATAACATTGCTTAAGTTAATATTTTTTAGCAAATAATTGTAGGTACTTAAAATTTGATATTTTTTTTTCATTTAGCTTTTAATTTGAGTATCAATGAAAATTATTTTGCTTCTAATTTATAATCTTGCATATTGACGTTTAGGCTTATTAGAACTTTGTATTAAAATTACAGTCTTGGTGGTTTGAATTAGTTTTAAGACTTCGATAAATTTTTAAAGATATAACTATTTATATAACTAAATTAGGATACGAAAACTCGAAATAATTATTAAATTTGATGTTTGACAACAGGTTGTGCGTTAAATGCTTGAACTTTTATCTGCCTATAAACAAGGAGGAAAAATTAAATTCTCTGATATATATTATGCGCCTATTAAATAGTCTGAAAGTTGGGATATTTTAATTTCTAAAAGTTATATGTCTGCTAGTTAAATTGAAAACATATCTTCGATTTCCGCTGGATTCAAAAATGATAGACCAAATATGTACCTTAAATAATCGAATCGTCATTAGAGTATTACGAAACTAATCCAAGTGACTGAATTTTACGCCACCAAGCTTGACTAAGATGAAATCGACATCCTTTTATAGAAATATTTTACCATATATAAAACTGTGTATGGCTTTTTCAAAGTCAACATTAATTATGTTTGGCTTAAAATTACAATCTATTTTTAATTTTAAGTGTAAAACGTATTTAATACATTAAATGTATCAGTTTGTCGTTATCATGAATAATAAATAACTGATTAAAATATTTAGTGCAATATTGAAATATTCCATTTACGTATAAAGTATCGATTTTTACAAGGAATTCCAAATAAGTTTTAGTAGAAAATAAAACAATACCGTTTTCTAAATCATGGTGTAATAAAAATTGATTAATTTCGTAAATAATATCAATTTCATTTAAAATATTATAAACTTCATTTTTCGTTGTAGGTAAGTAAGACAAAAATGAATTACGAGCTCGATGAAATTTTTTTTTATGTATTAATGTATAATATATTATTACATGGGTAGTTGTAATATTATCTATTTTATGCTGTCTTAATTCTGTGTGTAATAACTTTGAATGCCTTTCACACAATGGCATAATAATGTTTCAATGACTGCTTTTCTTTTTAAAGAGTTACTAATTTCTTGTCTTTTAAGTACTTCTTCTGATAACGGTACCTGATTATTATGGTTCAACTTATACTTTTGTTCAATATCATTGTGTCATTTACATCTACTTTTGAAAAAGCTATTAATATTTTTTTCGTACAACTCCGCCGTTAATACAATATTCCTAAAATGTAAATATATATATTTATGTATTATAAAAAGTTTAAGTACATAGGTCGTATAAAAAGTAAACAATTGATACTTAATTTATATACTATATAAAATAGATTAGTAATTTTTCTTTAGATAAAAGTTCAAAAAAGTTTAAAATTAATGTGTTAAATAAATCTAAAAATTTCTGTTGAAATTTAAATTAAAACTTTTCACAGCCACCATAAATCCCATTCTTAAACATCCGCATTGGATGGTGTATAATATTATAATACCAGTCTCTTAATACATTTTATAAGCCTTTCATAGTTTCATCATTAACCTATAGTACAATAATATCAATGGAGTATTTTTAAAAATGTTTTATTTAATATAGGTAAATAAAAGTTATAAATAGATATTACATTTTTACATTTGAATTTAAAAAATATATTATATTTTTGCTTCCAGACAATCCAAACAATTTTAAATAATTACATATAATTACTTAGTTTGCATTATGTTTATTTATATTGTAATTTTTCTTATTAATAATGAATCATATTAATGTAAGTTATGCTACAAACAAATTTATTGACATTTTAAAGAAAAAAAAAAAGAAGGAAATACTTGTTCTTAAGAAATAAATATCATCAAAAATCAAAAAAAAAAATAAATAAATTATAGACGGAAAACTGCAATTATTTTATCAATTCATCGTAGAGATAATTTATACATATATGTTTAAAATATAGAAATATAATATTAACTATCATGATAAAAACGGCAAAAATTAGCTTTACTACTAATATATATATATTATAAACAAGAAATAGATAGTACTAATAATAATCCTAAACTAAAATATAAATTAATTATAAATGGTATCAACCTTTCTACAAATAATTTCCCTATTGAAACTATTAACTTAACTAAAAATTAATCAACTTCTGAAAATACTTTTATCTTTTGGTAAAAGTAGAAAAAAAAATGAGTAGTCTTTAAATTAAACAAAAAAAGTCGTATTAATTATTCTGGAGTACGGACAATAGGTACTAATATACCATATCTCCAACGACTCCAACAAGTAAATTAATTATTATGGCTATGAAGTATGAACTGTAATGTTAGAAATAAAATAAGTTTAAAGGTTCACAACAAATATTCTTATACTCCTTTGTTTTCTTCTATCATAATATATTCATATTAGTTTACGTAAATCATATATCTATGCTTGATTTCGGCATTAATTTATATTATTACATATTAAGTAGGTACCTATTTAAGTAATTTTACAATTATTTCAATTCTATGAATTCCTTTGTTATTAGGTATATAAAATAGATACTTATACACAGAGGCGGCTTGAACATGTAAAAGACTACGGCTTTACCACAGTCCATGTTTAGGGTAGGTAGTGGGGTGGTCAATGGTCATTGTTAATAATATAGACATTTTTTGAAGTAGTTATAACTTATTATTTTTCTTAAAATATTTTAATATTTTATAAGAACAAGACATAAAAAGATGTTGTCTCAGTACTGTTATTATTATTAGTATTATTAGGTTTTTAATTTGATAGTTTTTATTATTATAAATCAACCTAAATGGCTAAATGCCAAAATATATTAAGTTTTGCGAATAATCGAAGAAATATAAATTTAACAAATTGGGTAAGACATTTGGATCTATTTTTCTCAACTGATATTAACTTGAACTTTGAAAAGGTAATAAACAAATTATTATATTTGTATATATTCTCATTTGTGTTTATGTATATTGTATGGAGAATACTCGTACGTACCAATAAATATTGTTTGGATATATTTCGGCGGCAGTCTAATATTTACATAAAACAAAAGATACTTGTGGTCATCAAAACTTTAGCCAGATTAATAATTATTTTCAGAAATATGAAAACCAATCTGAGTTTAATTCATGACAAAATAAATCTATATATAAACAAAATTACTTATACGATATAAGAATATTGTAGCCCTTTTCTGATAAGCTATAAAATCTGGTTTTGAGAAATTACCCATGGTTACTAAATAAAAATATAATTTTTTCACACACTCAATTACTTATCTATATTTACTATTATGTTAATAAAACTAAACTTAGGCTAATAGGTTGGGGGTGAGATTCTTCAGGCCACCTGTTAAATCCACCGGGCAGATATATGTATAACATACATTTAAGTATTAGGTATAACTAATATTGTTACGATTTTAGCGAAAGCCAAAATATTCAACTCGAAACATTTATAATATAATACATATTATGATTTTGTATATTCCTGCAGGCCGACACATTATTATTTTTTGTTTCTTCCTACATATTTACAATTCGTATAGCCTTACCAATTTCCTTTTTTTAAAGCCACACCGACACGCATGTTTTGATTATTCGATTCCGCTTGTAATTACAGTCTGAATTCCGAAATATAATCTCAATGTTTGATGACAAACGACAAGACCTCATTGACATAACAATTTGAATTGCCATCGCTTGTTAGATATTATGCACTTAATGGAAAATATTGACGTGCCCGCGTATTTGCATCTCTAGTAAATATGCGTCTCAACTACGTGTTAAGATTACCTACGCCACTTACCTAGCCGCTGTTTGATGTACCTGACAGTAGCTGACTATTGATAATGATTTTTTTATGTATAGTTTGGTACGTATACTCGTATACATATTTATAACTATGACACTTGTAGGTACTGTATGTATAAAGTATATTTTATTAAGTAGGTTTATTATTGAATTATTTATAAAATATTATGAATATTCATGTAAATCAAAAGAAAACGCACAAAAATAAACTGCAACTATTATGACCAATCCATTTGAGGCGATTTAAGTAAAATAGCCTTATTTGAATATAAAACGAGAACATAGTTATACAAAGAAGACGGAGGTACAATAAAAATAAAAGTATAACAAATAGAAAGTAATGATAATTAATATAGATAGATGTGTATTCAGTATTGTGTGTATATTAGTTAAACAAATCGATGATAATAAGTAGGTAAGTAGGTAACAACCAGTAAATCGAAATAAATATAAATTATAATAGGCAATAGCATTATAAATTAAAATTTAATAATAAATAACAAGATTTTAAAACAATAGTATGGATATAAAGAAATAAATATTTTATGCTCATAAAATTTGTAAATAAACCAATTAAATATTCGGAAATTTATTAATGCCTTTGAGAGAGCAATATTATTGCAATTATGATATTAATGTTATTACATATGTTAATCACATCTTATAAGACACTGGGTTTGAAAAGAGGAATTCTATTAAATAAACTTAAGCCTTTTTGCGATGACTTGAGGCAAAAAATAAATTAATTTAGTTAAGAGTATTAAGACTTTTGAATAATAATAAACTATATTATTAACAATATAAAATTTGTGGGTTGGTGTATAGGAATGTCCTAACACTTAAATAATATCAAATGATATATATATGGTCATAACCTCCTTCACTAGAAATTATGCTACAAAATTGTAATAATAACATAGAGGTGCATATTATTAAAAATATGCTGTCTATTAGTTGCTGCATACCTATTGTTATAGTCGATATTACTATAAGAAACTTTTAATGTATCTTTACTTATTTATAAAATTATATATTTATTTATTTTTATTCTAGTGAAAATATTTAGTCATTGATAGTGCTGGATCTTGAATTCTGAGAATCTAGTGCAAAAGAAAATTACGGGCCCCCTTGAAAAACAATTCATTGTATAGTATTTTACTTTTATATTCTTACTACAAATCAAATTGTATTATGAATGACAAACAGGTAACTTGAACGCAATTTATACTCTATATTATAGCCTATTGTATAAAATTCATAGTAAAACTTGAAAGACACTTTTTTTAACAACAAAATGAAGTATTTTTATCTTCTAAATGTCCCTAATAAATGCAGATACTATAAGATACAGTCTGTATCACAATAATTATTACAAAATAATACCAATACATTCACACACAAGAAGTTTTTATTAATTTTTATATGTGTTTCGATCAATTAGTAATGTGTAAAAAAAAAAAAATAACTAAACAATCAATCAAAATATAAATTCACATTAATTTACTACTGATGAGAAAACAAATTAAACATAGTTTCAAACCAATTACTGAAATTTCAAAACAGTTGAAAAAAACAAAACATAAATTTCACCAAGTATCTATTTTAATTTATAGTATTTTGATATCCATAATACCAGAGGCCCCCAAATATTTCAAAGTTCGGACCCGATGCAATACATCATTTGCACTGGTGGTTTATCTGACACTGGTGATTAATAGTATTTGGTTTTGATAATTTATATATAAAAAAAAAAAAAAAATTATTGAATTTAAAAACACAATTTTATAATGCTGATAAATTATAAATGAATTTTAAATTCAGCACCTCAATGACAAGTTTAAATAAACAATAGAAGTTCTAATATTTTATAAATTTTTTAATTTATTTGCTACACTATCAGTAATTTCATTTTTTCTAAGCATATCCATATAGACATCTAATTCATCTTCTTCATCACTTTCTATAGAATGCTCTAATTCCATGTCATCTTTTATAACAGATATTTCTTCCAAAGGAATTTCTGAATCAAAATATTTTTCTTCTTCATCAATGGATTTAATGTGCAAGTTATCATATTCTGGATTATTATCCACATTACTACACAAAAAGAAAAAATAATACATCAATATATAATATATAGATTTATTATACCTCTAATATTCATACTTGTAATCATAATCTTCTTGGCCATTAAGGAATTTGTGAATCATATGAGATTTAAATTCATTTAATAATAGGAGCTTTTCTTCATCATTTAGTTCTTTGTTGTTACACTGTTCTAAATTGAGGAAATGATCTTCTTTCCATCGACGTTTGCCAATTTTAACTGTTTCATTTCTGGGTTTACTATATTCGCCCCAAAATGCTGATGGTTTATGAACTTCCTTAGGCATTGATGGTTTATTAGATATAACATCATCATCATCATCATCATCAACATCACATTCTTCATCTTCTTTATTTACTTCTTGAACTTCCTCTATTTGTTGTTTACGTTTTAAGTCATCTCTATTATCACGATCAATTTGCTCAAATAAAACTTCAGTTAACCTTAAACAAACATGTTCAATTAATAATAAAAAAAAAAATAAAAATTAAAAAAGTATTTTATTATAATTACGAATTTTGAGCTAAATATTGATTGTCATAGTTGAATTTTTCTTCTTCTGATAGATATTGTCCAACCAATTGTTCCCAAAGTAAAGGTTCTCTATTTCGCATTTCATTATCACTGAAGTAATCACCTTTAAGAAGTTCAAGCATTGCTTGATAACGTCGATTTTTACAAATAACCTAATGAACATAAATGTAATATAATTATTAGTTGATTAGATCAATAATAATAATTAAAGTTGTCTATAAAATATGTTTTGCCATATACTTTTTTTGAATTTATTAAACGGCTTAATCTGTGTAGATGAAAATGTATTTCATAATTGTCATTATTTTTAGATTTAAAATATTCTAAATGATCTTCTATTAAATAATCACCAAAGATATATAAAAACTTTGAGTGACTATCTTTTAAGATGTCCCCGGCAATTTTTCGTCTTTCCTCAAGTGAAAATTCTGATTGGTCCTTTTGTTGACTTATAAAATCACTATTTAAAGCTTTCATTATAATATGATCAATTATTTGCTCTTGTGATGTTTTAGAGTTTTTATCATTTGTTTGGACTCCTAATTGGAGGTCTTCTTTTTCAATCATCTAAATAATAAAAAATAATTAATAAATAATCTAAATTAATTTGCAAATAACTTTTTGTAATTAACAGTAACATTTTTCTGGTATAAGAATGAGAAATATGACAGATTTAGAATATTTCTAATGGAAGAGCAAAAATCTCCAAAATTAGTATGGTAAATATTGACATCCCTTTGTAGAAAGAATATGATAGTAATATAAAAGGTACTATAAATTGATACAAAGGTCAGTTAAAAATAACCTTTTTAATATTTTAAGCTATTTTATTAAATAGTATTTAATTTTATATTTTTGAATAACAACAATATAGGTATTATATTAACTCACCACAGTATCCATTATTAAAGCATTGTGTTAATTACTCGGTTAAAATATAGTTAATAGATATCAAAGTATAATAATTAATAAAATTATAGAAGAAAATTATTGAAACTTAACTAGTATTATTTGTAATACGTTAACAATAGTTTTAGGAATTTTAGCTTTTTGAATTAATAATGAATAATATGATACAAATGTCAATTGACAATTCAACATTAAATATTTGACATAACAATTATTGCTATCATTATGATAATAGCGATAACAAAATAAAGGTATTATCATTTTATCACTATTTTCAATTTAAAATTATTGGCGGAATTGATAATTATTATCAAATTTATGCACATTTTCAATATTTTCATTGTCTTATGATTTTGAAGGCTATTAACTCTGTCATAATATTGTTAATAACAAATTGGTTTATATTTCTGTAATAGAATTATACACATTTCAGAATTTAAAGATTAAATAATTATTTGATATAAATCTATTTTCGAATTATCTAATTTTCAATGTTAACGTTTAAAATTTATTTAAAATTTTAGGGTATCTTCTTTCATCAAGTCTAGTTCCAAAAAAAAAAAAAAATATAATAATAATAATAATAATAATAAAAATTAAATAAATCTAGAAATCCAATGGTTTCAAAACGATTTTTTGATGTGTGTTATAATTACTTAATACTTTTAAGGTTTTAAAACTTTTACTTACGTACATTATGAATTTTACTACTCGTCAGTCGTCATCTACACACAATGCAATTTACAAAATATAAAGATTAGCTAGTTTTAAAATATTATCTATTTATACCATGAACCTATTTACATTGTTTTACGATAAGGTGTTATTGACTCAAAAGTTAATAACAAATAAGTAATAACAATAACATAATATTATATAAGCCATATTTATTTCATTATTATTGTTATGATTAAATATTAATAATATAATAAAATTAAATCAATCTACCTATCGTGGATGAGAAATATTAAGACATATTATGAAATATACTTAGTGATACCTACAGAAGTTGAGAGAGTGCGAGTCGCGAGTTAATGAGTTAGTAGGTGAGACAATAATGAGCTGAGGGTATATAAACAAATTACAAAACGATACAATCAGCGATAAAACGGCGGCGATTTTTACGTCATAGACCATAGTCATTGGTTCGTATATCATCATAATAATATTATTGTGGTATTGTACCGTAGTTGCCATGGCACCAGGTTTGAGTTGTATTTTGATAACGCGTTTACATTGTGTTTTGTATAAAGTTTGGTGTATTTGTGTTTATTTTATTAAGGTCTGGACAAATTGTTACGAACAAAGGAAATCAGATTTTGTTTGTTTTTTAATTGTGTAATACCTCAGATCTCTGTTTGGCGCCTCTGCGTTTCATCGTCACACGGATTCGGGATTTGTCGTTAATCGTTGTACACCAAGGTCGGGATAGTTTTAAATTTTTAAATTTGTTATCTTATTATCTATCTTAGTTTCTTCTTAGAACATTAACTTTGCAATATCAGTGAGCTCATGAAAATTATTATTTATTTAAACGTCAGAACGTTGTGAAATGCATACACATTTCGTTATCATTAATTAATAAATACTTAATAGAAGGAGTATTAGTTAAAAATACACAATAATCATAACAAGTTGATTGGGTTAGGAATAGGATTGCCAATATTGAGCACTGAATATTGTTTATATGTAATAATTAATGGATTTACTTGTTGAGGTTCTTAAGTATTAAAAATGTAATTATTCAGTTTTCAGATTGCTTACTGTCAAATTTGGTAGATATTATAGAAATCCTATAATTTGATTAGGTACTTATATAGTTATATACATTTTATTGAATAAATTAATTGCATATTAATGAAAAAAAACAAACGAAATAACACACAATCTATTAATAAAATAATAAAATATCGAATAATACTTAAAATTTATTATGTAGAGACTCATTTAAACTGTACAGACTTGTATGTACCTAGTTATTAACTATAACTGATTCTTAATTTTATCATTTTTTCTCAATTTAACTATTAATTCAATGTAAGTGATGTTGTATTGTACTTTCATCGTCTATACCTAATAGAATACTTTATAATGAAGGTTCATAATTCATATTTAATACATTAAAATTAATCTAATTTGTTCATTAAATTATTATATTAATTAAATTGAAACTTTAATCATTTTCTAGAATCTCTAAATTAATGATAACTGAGTTTTATTTGTTGTTTTTTTGGTAGGATTTGACATTTTTATGTGCATTTTTTTTTTAAATTATTGAGTAACTTTTTAATACTATTTTATATTTATGATTATTTTTTTTTAGGTGGTATTATTGTATATATTATAAAAATGGTATTAATTCATGTTAAGCATGGCGACGATAGTCAATTTTTGTATGAAGCATCGTTGGAAACTCCTGTTGATGAATGTACATTGAATATTACTTCAATATATAACGGCCGTTTGAAAATTTCCAGAATCTGTAGTGGTAATTATTAACTTAAATAAAGAAAAATTTTTTTGTTTATTCATTGTCATTATTAGTACTGTTAAGGTTTGCACATACTGTGGTGGTGGCAGTAAAATTTTATTTTCCTACTGTGGCCACCCGCAGTGTGTAGGACCTTTATTAATAATTTGTTTTTTTTTTCAGAAATGGAAGAGCTTAAAAAATATGGTACATTGTTGCCACCTGAGATAATGGGATTGACTGATGAACAAGTTGTTGAACTTAAATTGATTGATACATGGGGTGAAAAATGTATACCTAGTGGTGGTTACACATTTCACAAAGACCCAATTGGACGCCGAAATGGAAAACGCCCTAATGAACAAATGCAAAATGTGTTAACTAAAACAATTGAAGAGGCCAAGGCTTGTGTGTCAAAGGTAAATATTATTATAATAAAAATTGTAATTATCTATTTTTCTAAAATATACATATTTTATAGAAATTGGTTCAGTCTCAAATTTCATTAACCCAAAAGAAAGTTCAAGAAGCTCTTGACATACTTAGAGGTGCAATTATGATTGTTTATCCAATGAATTTACCACCACATGATAACATAAGACTTGAGATTGAAAACAATGAAGATCTTTCAGGAACTCATGCATCATTAGATGTTAGTATATATTTTTTTTATTCTTACTAGTTATTTTACCTTAGTTTTAGTTTTGTATTTGAGTAAATATTTTAAGCTAATCCCCATATAAATAAAATCAATTTTATGTATTTATTATTGTTGAATGTTTATGTTTCAAATTCTAGACGTGTAATATAATTTTTCCTGTTTTGATTTTAGAATCTGATCAAGTCTCTCTGTATTAAATTTTGGGTCTCTATTCTACTTTTTACTTATTCTCTTAAATTTATATTTCCATAAATCATATTATTAGTATATTATGTAATTTAATTATTCTAAAATATAGCTTTAAATGTTCCCATAAATAAGCCACTAAAGTGAATGTATATTTGAAGTTTGGAAATAAATATATTGGTATAGTTTGATATTTTTGAAATAATAAATACATTTAAGTATTAAATGTATTCTAAAATAACTTCAAAATAGTTGATTTTAAAATCAAAATTTTTTTTTTGATTTATGAGTTTGTTTTTAATTATATGTATACCGGATGAATCTTTAATTAAACAAAACTCATTATTTTAAAATCTATTATGTTTATAAAACAATTTTTTTGTATAATTCTAAGTTGAAATAAACAATTTTTTTATATTTTTATCGTTATAATTTTTTATTTTTTGAATGACTACCTACATATTTATTTCATATTCTGAAACAGGAAATTTTTCAAAGTATTTTGATATATCAAAATTAGAATTCAGATATTTAGTTTATGAGTTATAAGTATTTAAAGTTTTGGTGAGTAGAGTAGTAGACCAATATTTTGCAGGGTATTTTCATATCACTCCATACCACTCACCAATATTTTAAATACTTGTAAACTGCTCATCTAAATTTCTATTTTCATGTATTGAAAAAAATCTAAAAAATATTCTGCTTTAGTATGTGAAATTAAAAATATGTAATGTCATTGAAAAAGTGAAAACTTTAAAGAATTTAACTATAAAAATATTAAAAATGTTGTTTTATATAGACTAGAAATTTTGTATAAAAATGTTTTCAATAGCATTAATAGATTATTAAATAATATGTATTGTTTAATGAAAGAATCATCTTGTATATATTTGATTGATTTCAAATCAATTCAATTACAGTAGAACCCCTTTCATCTGCTCTCGGCTGGTCTGCCGCTCCGGTTGATTCGACCATAGTATAATCGATATGAATACTATGTAATTTAAAAATAGAATTTGGATTTTCTACTTTATAGAAGATATTATATACAATTAATTGCTAGTTTAATATTTCCCTTATCGCTTGTTCGCTTTAGTACTCGAACCTCTCTCGTATCGTTTCTATAGGTGTGCGTATTTTGGAATATTGCAGTGAAGTCTAGAATGTCATTTGCTAAACAAAAATCTATAACTGACTTTTTTTCTAAGTAATGTAAAATATAATAAATTTCTGATATAATCTTGTACGTAATATGTAAATAAAAAAAATGTTCTGTATATTCTGATAATCCGACCTTTTTCGCGTTCTGATCACACCCCCAGTCCAGAAGGTGATGGATTAGAGAGATTCTACTGTATAAATTTAATAAGTAATAGTTATATTGAATTTTCTACTTAGGTAATTGCACCAAATATTGCACAACTTTGGTTTTCTGGTCGTGAATTAGTACGAGAACCAAATAAAAAAATGAAGGACTATTTGGGGCGCAATGAAAAAACAAAAGTTGTGTTGAAGCTTACTAAGACCGGTTCTGGACCACCAGCTCGTGAACCACCATTAAGTGAACAAGACCGTAAATTATTAATGGCTGAAGCTTATAAAAAACAAGAAGAATTAAAGGTGAGTTAGTTTTATTAGTTTCTGCACACATTATATTTGTATATACTTTGTTTTTGTAATGGTAAAAAAAAATTAGAAGATCTTATAATTATTATGTAAGATAAAGCAAATTAAGAAAATTTTATAATATATTTATAAGTTAAAGGTATATCCTTGAATATTATTTATTTAAAATTTTGTTATTTATAGTTTATGCTTCAAATCAAAGTGCTTATTATATAAAATGAATTTTTATAGTTTTGTTGATCAAGTGATTATTTGTACTAAATGGTAGTCATTTTTTTTTATGTGATTATTTTAACATCTTATTGATTTATAAATGTTATTCTATTATTTAAATTTTAAACTACAAGTATTTCAGACTCCAGTTCAATTTATTAATTTGTACATACCATTATATTAAAATAAATATATATTATATTTTTGATGTACATAATATAACCTTAAGTCCATCTTATAAATTGGTTATTTATTATAATTCACTTCTGTAAAATTCTTATTTAAACTAATTTTAACTAATTTCATAGAAATACATTATCAAATATGTATAATTAGATAGTTAAGTTTATTTAAATTTTATTTAGATCAGTCTTGTTTTATAATTGGTTGGTTCTATTATTTGAGTGTTCATAGTATAAAGTTATGAAAAATATACCTACATTGTTAATAATTTGTTAAATAATATTAGGTTAATAAATAAAATAAGGTTTTTATAATACAAAAAACCAGATATTATTATGTATATAAATCAAAGCCATTAATATTTGAAAACATAAATATTAAGTATATTATATATTAATGATAATTTATAATTTGTTTAATATTATTATAAAATATTTAATGTCTAAGTTTGAATATAAAAAACATTGAAAATCAGTAAAGGGAAGTTAAATTTATTAAAAAGTAGTATCTAGTTTTGTGTAAAAAACATTAATTTAGTTGGTGATAATACTAAAATTAATGTAAAAGCATTAACATGTTATTATATTATTGCACATATTTTAGAAATATGAGAAAATACTTAATTTTTTTTAAATCTCACTCCAAATAAATCACTAATGTAATCAATCATTTGAATACTTGCATTATAGATTATAATTTATTATTATTATTATTGTTGATAAACATATAATTATGTCATAGCAATTAATAGAATTTTCATATACATCTATCAACATGTTAAAATTTTCCATCGACAATTTTCTGAGTTTCACTAAAAGTTTTAAATAAAACGATGCTTGATTTTTTGTTCGGTATAATTTCGACCAACAGCACGTAAAAATAACGTTTGTACGTTTGTAAAAATTGTATCATAGACTTGATTAAAAACTGAATCTTGTTCTTCTAAAAATGAACCATATTATGGTGCTTTAAACGGTGTATAATTATTATTTGGATGTGATACATTTGTCAGATCAAACCAATTATTTATTAACTCAATGAAATTAGCGTATCATCATTCAGTTTTTTATTTTGAATAGGCTTGTAATGCTTTAATGCTGTTGCAGTTGTGTGTGACAAAATTTGAGTTGCAAGTTGTAATTCACGTAGTAGAAATAAAATAAAAAATAGTCAATACAAAAAACATGTACAGAGAAACATAAACGATGATTATATATGTGTAATATGTACTTTTGTAGTGCGAGTTGTATTAAAATATAAAAGTATTGTGGATATGAGTAGAAGTGAGATGGAGCTCGTACATACGGAGTGATCTGTGTTAAAATAGCCAATGACAAAATATCATCCAATATGTCTTTACTTGTTTTGCAATTAAAACACTCCAGATGAAGTATTTTAAATTTTTCTTATATTTTAGTCTTTTTTGTGGTAGATTCAACGTTCCTACTCTCTAGTGATTTTTATTTCGTTAATCGCGATATTCATGGTTATTTTTTTTTTAGTGTCCAAACCTTTGGATGGTTATGGGTTATCTAAAAAATGATAAGTGAATATTGAATAGCGAAAGAAAAAGGATATTAAACTATTCTGTCTAGTATTTATAATTATTTATAATTTATATATAATAAAGTTGTTAATACATTTAATTAGATGTAATTTAAAACTGAATAATGTTAATATTATTAATATTTTCTGTTTAAACAGAGTATTTGAAATTTGTTTTTAATTTGGGTATTATATCCAAATACTATGTATATTATATGCCAATTATTGATGTGTACTGGCTAGCGTCGAAGTATTATTTCACTGCGTGTTTCATTGTTATAATATAATAATTTAAATAATATGATTAAATACAATAATAATTAATCTAATCGTCGACCTACTATTCACGAAAACGACACAAATTGTAAAAATCTAATTTTTATTTTAATGACTTCCAATACATATAATTTGTAGGTATACAATAATATTATAATTATATGAATAAGAACAAGACATTTATAAAATATCAAGTTAAATTATAAATTATACGGTTTATCACCTTAATTTGGTTAGTATATATGGTTAGTAGGTTTTTCGTATGAAAAAAACATCATTTCATACTTTATCACATATATTATATTTGTTACCTAACATTAGCTATGGATTTTTATTTAATAGATTTTAATATCTTTTTTTTAAAGGTAGCTCAAATATATACATATATATACAAATTTATTTTACGAAATATTTGTTTAGATATCTGATTATAATATTATGATAATAAGAATAAATTGTCTTACTATTTCTGAAAATATTAGTATAGTACCTGTTTATTTTTATATTCACCTTTAAAAAGTTTTGGTAAAGGAAATAATTTTTAGTTTATGAACACGCAGTTAATAACATGCAATATTGCAAAATATGCGTATGAACTGATGTAAAATATATATTAAAATATTAAGAATTATAATTTATAAGTATATTAATAAAACTGATACAACTAGAATTTATAAAAATAATAGAGAGAATTTGGGAATAATGAATAATAATAAATTAAATATTAATCGTACAATTTTATAATAATAAACATGAAAATAGTACAATACACGCGTTTTGTGTAGTATTGTTATTTGGTACAGTTTATTTTATAACATAATGTTTCTACATGAGCTGACAAAATATTCCAAATAACCAGGCTGTCATGACGTAAAAGAAATTAATTTCTGTTGCGAACTGTCATTTGTGAGGAGTAGGGTGTATACGGTAAAAACCAAAATGTTGCGTGACGTTAAGCGTTATAATTTATTACTGTTGGCAGTTGGGGTTAATATTATTATCCCGAGTTACAGTGCTAAAAGTTCACCACTTTTGCCATTTCATGTAGCTTGTAGCTATAAATTCAAGTCTGTTCTGTTATTTTTTTTTATTAAGTGACGTAGAATTATACTTAATGTATCAGTAACGTCTCTAGACCAATTTTCATGATGAGGGAGGAGGGTTATTATAATTTAGTATGTTATATTAATAAATATATATTATTTATATTTTGAGATAGAACAAAAATTGATACCAGAGGGGTGAATACCTTGGGGTTTCCCAAGGACGTATCTAAATCTATGTGAGAGTTATATTATCTATTGTTTAGCTATAACAATAGTTATACAATAATAAATTAATAGTAAGAACTTAAAATTTTATTTAATAATTGTATAAATTTATATAACTTATAAAAATTGCAATGCATACAAGGCAGATCGTTTAAAATATTTACAATATATATGGTCTTTTCTGTAATTTATATTGTTTATTTTCGTGTCAGCAAAATTTCAAAATTATCTTCAAAGAAAAGTAGTAATTTGTGATATCGGTATGTGAATACATGACACGTCCGTAGTGGTGATAGCTTTTGGCGGAAACTTTCCTAACATTAACGCGTTACGTGACTATCATTTTTTGAAGGTTTTAAACTTGGATCTCATAAACTAGACGCGAGCATGGGATATGCATACTTCGAAAGAGTCATTTACGTATCTTAAAAAGATTTTTTGTTTAAAAAACACAATATACTTATCTATAAATTTAAGAAAAACAAGCTATAGAAAAGTTCTAAATGCTATACATATTTTTTTTTATAAAAACTTCCATTTTTTTTTTTTTACTTTCATGACATTTTATTTTATTTTTTTTTTGAGAAAAAGGCTCAATTTTTTGTTTCACATCACATTTTGTTAGTTCGTAAATAATATCTTCATAAACAAACATAAATTAACTCTATGTATATGTATTAATTAGTTGGGTAAGTAATTTATAAATTATGTATAAAAATTAAATACCTAATAGTAAAAAAAAAAAATATTTCAAGAAATAACCCGTAATCACAGCGGCAAAACGATTTTTTTTTAACTAAAAATAATAAAAATTATTTGAAAAACTCAATGGGTCAAGATCGAATAACTTGTATGGTTCAAATGAAACAAAAAATAATTAACTAAACCTTAACTAAAAAAAAATATCCCATTGAAAATACATCTAGATTAATTAATCTTATTAATTTTAAGTTATTTACTATATAATTTCAAAACTGTCCCAAGTTTGACGGCAGTTTCTTTTATTTAAAAACTAAACAAAGGTCATTACCATTTTCTTTTGTAGAGTCTATTCCAAAATCAAGTGATTTGATAGATGGTCGAGTTTCTAAAACTCCATCTAACTCTTCAGAATTACATGACATTCTGTTACTTCCACTTTTGTTGTTTAACGATTCTTTTCAGCACCTTCCGCTTTGCATTAACTTGTGCAACAGTTTTTGATGAATCAATTTTTTCTAAATCTAATTTCACGATTTCATAAATCTAGACGTCAGAAAAATTAGTTTATACAATTATTCTATTTTAAATTTTATTAGTTAACGTAATACGACAAAAAAAAGGTTAGGTTATGTGATACGTATATTTTATTTATTTATAAAAATTAAATCTGAATAATATGTGTTATCTAATATTTATAGTCAATGGTATTATGTAATCACTTAGGGATTGGATCACAAGTGATTGTTCAATTTACATGTATAAAAATACAGTCGACTTTATTAAACTGATTTAATTTGGTTAAACTTCATTATATTCGAGCGTCCTTAGAATAATAATGGCTTATGTTATTAAGGGCGCTTTAAAGCGTTTACATGATGCATGATTAAATAGATTTA